GTGAAAGGATATAAGATGTATTATTTAAAATGACACATCTTTTTTCCTATATTTTATGTAAATTATATTATATTTTCTCATATATTAGAGGCAAGATATTTCAGATCATTTTTAAAAAAATACAAGTGGCAAATCTTTCCATAATGTGAAGGACAGAATTGGTCTCTCATGTAAAATTTTCTATATTTTATTTTGTACTTTTTAATTCACATTCATTATACAATCGAACTATCGTGATTATTGACATTGAAACAATTCAAACAATATGCTGATGCAACACACGGAATCATTCCTACTAAGTACTCCGTCGCCATTCGCCACCATCGAGAGGGAGATCAAAATTCGAAGCGGGAAAAACACACACCCTAAACAAGCAAAAAAGGAACAATTGAAAGCGTGGAACCATAAAAGGATATAATCCAAAATAAGCAATGGCGCTTCACCGTTTCACATCCAAACTGCGGAGCTATTAGTACTGATACACAAAAAAACGAAACTATTGCGTTCCCTCTCTCACTTCTCTTTTCATTCTCTTCTCTTCATCTTTCAGCTCTCCAAACCCTAGAAACTTCCAATCGAAGCGATTCATCTCGATTTTTTGTTCAAGTGCTGTTTTATTCTTTGGTTACTATTTTTTTTATATGTTGTTCGGCATTTTCTTTCTTATTTGTTTGTTTCATTCATTGTTGTTTTTTCAGCATATGAAGAGGTCTCAGAGTAAAATCGCCTTGAAGAATGGCAGCAAAGGGGATGAGGTTGACGAGAATGTGAGAGAATCGAAGCGTCCTCCATTGCAGCGGAGAGCCAGTGCTCGCATCCAAGCGATTATGCAGAAAGCAGCTGACGAGCTTGAGGTCGTAGAAGACAAGAATGAAGGTAGTGAGATGGCCAAAGAGAACAAGCTCCATAGAAAAAGTCGTAGTGAAGAGAGTGTTGGTGAGGCAGAGGTAGTAGAGGTAGACGTTCGTGAGGTCGAGGTTGTGGAAGGAAGTGTGTATATGGAGAATGAAGTTGGTGTTTCAGCTGAGAGGAGTGAACCTCTCAGTGTTGACGAGACAATTAGGCTGTTTAATGAGCATTACCTTTCTCATCTTCAGGTTTGTTGCGTGTTTGAACCCGATCTGGGATTGGACTTTGGTTCTTTTGTTTGTTGATTTGGTTGAGTCTATTTTGTTAATTTGGCCTCTTCTGGTGGTTGAAGAAAAAGAAGAAAAAGCCGGAAGTGTGCGCCAAGCTTGAGGTTGAGGATGTGGGAGGAAAGGAGGATACTGAAAATGCAGTTGGGGTTTTGGCTAAAAAGAGTGACTCTGTTAAGGTGAAGGAAACGATTAGGTTGTTTAACAAGCACTATCTTCATTTTATTCAGGTTTGTTGCATCTCGCACTCTTTAGTCTAGTTGATTCACTTTGGTCTTTGGTATGCTCTGGTTGAAGCTATGTTTCTAACACGTACAGGAAGAAGAGACGAGATGTGGGAAGATACAAGCTGAAAAGGTTTCAAAATCTAAGGTTGGTTTATTATTAAGCACTGTTTGTTATTTGTGTGTTATCATATTTATGTCGTTATCTCTCCCCCAACATAAATTATAAGAAAAAAAAATGCTTACGAGTCCATTTCTTATGTGAAATAATTCTGTAATGATCTTACTTGGGGATGGAAATTTTGAACTGTGTGCTACTATAAATATTGTATATTACTTTTCCTTTGATTGGAACTTTAGGTTTTTTAGTGATAACAGGCTTTTTGCTAGGTATGACTCTGGACTTTTGGTTGGGTATTAGCAAAATTTTCTTACAAGTATTAAGCTGCATTTTATTTCATTATTGGGCTAAACTATAATAGCATAACACTTGGGTCTATGCAGTGTCCGGCTCACATTTTTGCCCCCACCTCTTTTCCAATTTTAAGTTGGGAAGTTTTTTACATAACAGATATTGTGTCTTCATGCAAACATCATTTACTGCTTGAATAGTTTTGTCATACAAGGCAAATATGCTAAATGTTTCTACCTTGAACGTTGTCAAACTTATTTTTGAATTCCCAGTTATAGTTTAATACTTAAAATGTATTTCTTTTTCCTTTTTGGTGAAGTGGTAAGCACATTGCAGTTGGAGTGAAGAAAATGTGCTTTTGTTAGTAGTGTGTTTCAATGTCTGTTAAGAGCTTTAAATCTTACTTCATTGTATATTGAAATTTAAAGCTGAACTGTTTCGCTGAGTTTTTGTTTTGTTTTGTTTTATTAATCATTTTACAATAAGCTAGCAACAAAACTTCTTGTGTTTTTTTTGGTAAATAAAACTTCTTGTGTTAATTTATGTAGAAAGGCGCTCCACCTGAAGATTTAAAGTCCAAAGCCAAGAGGCCTGATTTGAAGGCCATGTCAAAGGCAAGTGAAATATAATTTTTTTTTTTAGCGGAATCTTGATTGCAGGTGTCATAATAATTGTTTATGTGATGATCAAGTATAGCATTTTGCTTTTCTGGTATTTTTCAACAGCATTGTGATGAAATTACCTTATTCATCTTTTGTCTATCCTTGTTCTTTCTCTTGTAGTGATTGATGCCTAATATCTTATCAATTTTTTTTAATTGGTTAGTTAAGAGAGGTCTCTTAGTAACAATCTACTAGACTACTTTAATGACAATATCTCTTAATTATGTGAAATAAACTTAAGTTTATTTTTTGATAATGTATAGTCTTAAATTTATTAATTTTGTTTTATATCATTTGTTTTGATTTGATTAATTGAAATTGATTAAATTGTAAATTCCAAAAACACTGCTCTTGTTATCTTTTAACACTATTTTCAAATTGGAGATTGTTGACAGATGATGAATAATAATGAGATACTGTACCCTGTGAAAAGAGTTGGCAACATTCCAGGTTGTTAGCTTCATCTTGTGTTGCTCTAACTGCTAATCTTTTTTCATCTAAATGATATTATCTACATATTATCTCTCAATTCTCACAAATGTTATTTCTTATAATTAGCTTATCATATGCACGGTGAAATTTTGTTGTACTTGATAGTTCCTCATTTAGTGATTGTAATTTTTCTCTTAATGGCAGGTGTTGAAGTTGGGTATCAATTCTATTCTCGTTGTGAAATGGTAGTAGTTGGCATGCATAGTCATTGGTTAAACGGGATTGATTGTATGTTCCTGCACAATAAAAAAAAGGTAATGCAATTTCTTTTTGGAATGTTGTATTTTCTTACTCTAATTTGGTTGGAGCATTAAATTATACATGCATTTATCATACAATATATTTTTGAATTGAATGTTCAATATAAATCTATATTAGATGTTTACTTTTTCTCTCTTGATTGTCACAGCACAACAGCTATAAATTCCCTGTTGCTGTGTGCATTGTTTTGTCTGGCATGTATGAGGATGATGTGGATAACGCTGAGGATATTGTGTACACTGGTCAAGGTGGGCATAATCTGAGCGGTGATAAGCGTCAAATTGCGGATCAAAAATTAAAGTTTGGTAATCTAGCACTCACGGTGGGTAGGCATTTTGATGATATCTCAATACCTTTGAAATATGATAATAACTTGTTTCCTTTTAGTGGTATAATTGATAGATTAATTTTGCTATCTGCTTCATTAAAAAATGGGAATTATGGATTGTTTTTTGGTGGAAGGTTTATGCTATTGTACATAATAATAATGTCTGCAATGGTTGGTACATAATTAGAATCATATATATTTACAAATTATAAAATTAGAATGGGATTTGTTTAGTTGGGTTGAACTGGTGATGTTCAACTGATGGTAGCTGGTGTTTTTATCTACGGATGCTCAATAAAGATGTCTAATAATGATGAATCACTATCTCCGGCCAACAACTTAATGAGTAATAATCAGGGGTGCATGTGTGAGTTACTTGCGAAGTGAGAAGAAGGGAATGAATGTGCTTTGGGCACAAGATATGCGAGTGTGAAGGTTGTAAACATGGTGGTAAATCCTGTGAATAATGAAAAGATTATCCCCTCATTCACTCTGGGGTGTTATATAGATGAGGTGTAGGGAGGTCATGCACATAGTGGGTGTTTTGTAGGTGACTAGTGATGTGATAGTGTGCTTAGTGGGTAGTTATGTGTAGTGGAGGGCAGTTGAGAGAGAGTGGTGTAGTGGAAATGCATAATGTATGTCTAGAAGTGGGGAGAGGGAGTTGGGACCATTTAACTGGTCCAGAACAGGATTATATCATGCACAATTTGGTTTCATTTCGTAAGAACAGAAATAACCAGCCATGGATCCTTATTTTTGTTTTTGTAAACTTTTATTTTCATGCATTGTTGAAATTATTGAAGTGATATTGTTTATGAATCATGTTATTTGTTTTGGGAATAGGTTGTGTTTGTGAAATGCTATTTATATATCTTACGTTATATTTTTGATTATTTGTATTTGGGTAAGATTCCTTTTCCTTTACAATTGAACTCTATTTGTTGTACAAGGGCTCGTCTAACCTACATTGATCTCAATTATAGAACTGCGTTGAGCAATTAGTTCCTGTTAGGGTGGTTCGTGGTCATGAATCTTCGAGCAGTTACTCTGGTAAAGTCTACACTTATGATGGTTTGTACAAGGTAATTCTTTGAAAATATTACTCAAACATGTTTCTTATTGCTAATTGGATCTCTAATTTGGGCAAAAATATCTGTATAGACTGCTTAAAAATCAAATCTTAATAATGAAAATATGGTTTTGTAGTTATAATCAATATCAACATCAATAACACTTTTATTCCAAACTAGTTGGGGTCTATGGCATATGAACCCAAATGAAAAGTGCAAAAAGATTGAAAAAAAAAAGTTAAAAATAAAATTTAAAAAATATAAATAACATTATCCATAAAAAATAGTAGTGAACAAACGGGAAAAATAAATTGAAAGAAAGTGAAAATAAAGATACATAAGAAGACACAAAAGAATAAGAAAGTAAAAATAAAAAAATATACTGACAAAAAAAAGTAAAATAAAAAAGGAAAGAAATTTAAAAAAGGACAAAGATAAAAGGAAAGAAATTTAAAGTAAAATATCTTCATTTCTTATCTTATCTATCCTTGTATGACCACACATCCACTTCAACATTCTCATTTTCGCTACTCCCATTTTATGCACATGTTTCCTCAACATTTAGCTCGTATAACATTTGTAGAAAATTAGAATTCAAACATGTTTCCGTTTTTATTTCCTATTAATTAGGATTGATTATGATTGATTAGGATTGATTATGATTGATTAGGATTAATTCTGATTGATTAGAATTGATTGTGATTAGGATTGTGATAGGATTGATTAGTCATCGCTTAGTCATTCTTAGCGATTCTTTCTTGTATAAATACTCACTCATGTAATTTATTCAATATCAATATACAAAAACTTCTTTTCAATATGGTATCAGAGCGGGTTCGTTCTTACCCTAATTCAAATCTGAAATAACCATCCAAACACTTCCATCACCGTCAAACACCTCCTAAACACCGCCTTGAATCTGTCCAACACAGAAACCTAGTTTACTGACCTCCGATCAAAAAAGTGAGGTGACCATTCGACTCAGAAGGATCCGACGAGTCGACCGCCGCTGGACCCATCGCCGTCAGCCGCTGCACGCGCCGCCTTCCAGACGTTTTTTTTCCGTCGCGACTTGCACAGACCTTCTCGCCGGCTTCTCCCCTTCCTGTTCCAGAGGTCAGATCAAAAGTTTACAAAACTTGATTTTTCATCAACGGTCAACCCTTCTCTTTTTATTCATGGCTTCCTCAAAACACTCTTTTTATTACCACGAGCAACCTCCTAAGGCCACTAGTCATGTGGTCCAGCAAGGTACAACTTTCCATGTTGATAGTCAAAATCATTGGATCCTTGATTCTGGAGCCTCTGATCATATGACAGGTAATCTTGGCTTGTTTTGTTCATACACTCCATATTCTGAACCTTCTCGGGTCAAGATCGCCGATGGCAGTTTTTCCCAGATTGCGGGACACGGAACCATTAAACTTTCTGAGCTGATTACTTTGACATCAGTTCTTTATGTTCCTTCTCTGACTTGTAATCTCATTTCCATTAGCAAGCTCACCTCTGAGTTGCATTGCTTTGCTAAATTCTTTCCACATGGTTGTGTTTTTCAGGAACAGGACTCGGAGAGGATGATTGGCAGTGCTAGAGAGGATGGTGGACTTTACTACTTTGAGGAGGATGTGACTCATGAAGCTGTTTTCGTAGAAAAAAATTCTATGTTTCCTTTTGATTCATGTAATGATGTTATGCTGTGGCATCGTAGGCTAGGCCATCCAAATTTTATTTATCTTCAGAAGTTGTTGCCAAACTTATTTATTAATAAAAGTCCAAGTTTGTTTTCTTGTGATATTTGTCAACTTGCCAAGCATACTCGTGCTCATTATCCTTCTAAAGTTCACCATGACTCTTCCCCATTTTCCTTAATTCATAGCGACATATGGGGTCCAGCCCGTGTTAAAAATATTTCAGGTACTCGATGGTTCATTACCTTCATTGATGACCATTCTCGAGTTTGTTGGGTGTATCTTCTAAAGGATAAGTCCGATGCTGCATCCGTGTTTAAAAAATTTCATGCCATGGTTCAAACCCAATTCCAAGTTGCTATACAAATTCTTTGTACAGATAATGGCAAAGAGTATTTTAACTCTATTCTTGGAGAATATCTTTCCCAACATGGCATCCTTCACCAAAGCTCGTGTCCTGACACACCCCAACAAAACGGAGTTGCGGAAAGAAAAAACCGACATCTCCTTGAAGTTGCTCGGGCTCTTATGTTTACCACGAGTGTTCCTAAATATCTTTGGGGAGAGGCAGTTCTCACTGCCTCGTATCTGATAAATCGAATGCCATCTCGCATTCTGAAATTTCAGTCTCCTCTTTCTAGTCTTGTTCGTATCTTCCCTTCCTTCCGAGGTGTCTCCTCCTTACCTCTCAAGTTATTTGGTTGTGTTGTATTTGTCCATATTCCCTCCCATCAACGGTCTAAGCTTGATCCTAAGTCTCTCCAGTGTGTCTTTATTGGTTATTCTCCTACTCAACGTGGCTATAAGTGTTATTCACCCTCTCTTCGTAAGGTCTTTGTCTCTATGGATGTCACTTTTTCTGAGAATGACCCTTTCTTCCCTCGACTTCTCTTCAGGGGGAGTCTATAGGAGTAGATGAAGATCAGTCATGGGAACCTATTAATGCCACAGTATTACCTCTACTTTTGGAAACAGGGGGAGCTACAGAATCCTCACCATCAGGAGCCTCCTCAAAATGGGGACAAGTTTATAGCAGGCGAAAGCCTCCTCAAAGTGTGAATAACCCAGAGCCTCTACACTGCCAGGATTCTGAACCATGTTCTAGTTCCAGCACCCCAATACTTGAGTGTCATGGTGAAAATGATCTACACTTGCCCATTGCTCTCAGAAAAGGTACTCGATCTTGTACTACTCATCCTATTTCTAATCATATTTCATATGGAAAGTTGTCCCCAGGGTTTCGTGCTTTCAATACTATGTTGGATAGTACAAAGATACCGAGAAATATACATGAGGCTCTCAATGATAAAAAATGGAGGGATGCTGTCTTTGAAGAAATGAATGCTTTAGAAAGAAATGGAACTTGGGAGATAGTGACCCTACCCAAAGGAAAAAAGGCAGTAGGATGCAAATGGGTGTTTACAATAAAATTCAATGCAGATAATAGCATCAACAGATACAAGGCAAGATTGGTTGCAAAGGGTTTCACTCAGACTCATGGGATAGATTATCATGAGACTTTTGCTCCGGTTGCTAAAGTCAATACCATCCGAGTTCTCTTATCTCTTGCTGCCAATCTAGATTGGCCTCTGCAACAGTTAGATGTGAAGAATGCATTCCTAAATGGTGACTTACATGAAGAAGTCTATATGGATCCTCCACCTGGTTTTGAAAGGGGAAATGAATCAGTGTGTAAACTAAAAAAGTCTCTATATGGATTGAAACAGTCTCCCAGAGAATGGTTCGACAAATTCACACAAGCAGTCAAAAGAAGAGGCTTCATTCAAGCACAGACTGATCATACTCTCTTCCACAAACACTCTAAGGATGGTAAAATTGCTATTCTTATTGTATATGTAGATGATATAATTCTTACAGGTGATGATATTGAGGAATTGAACACCTTGAAGAAATTTCTAGCAGCTCAATTTGAACTCAAAGACCTTGGCACTCTCAAATATTTCCTTGGTATGGAAGTTGCTAGGAGCAAAACAGGCATCACTCTAACACAAAAAAAATATGTTCTAGATCTTTTGTTGGAAACAGGAATGTTAGGGTGTAAACCTGCTGAGACACCTGTGGAACCTAATACCAAGTTAGGTATTGAAGATGGGAATGAGGTGGATAAAGAACAATATCAGCGATTGGTTGGTAAACTAATCTACTTATCTCATACGCGTCCTGACATTGCCTTTGCGGTGAGTATGATTAGTCAATTCATGCACTCACCCAAGGAGAAGCATCTTAGTGCAGTCTATAGGGTGCTTAGATACCTCAAGAATACTCCAGGAAGAGGATTATTCTTTAAAAAGGGGTATAAAAGGACAATTGAAATCTACACTGATGCAGATTGGGCAGGCTCATCAGTAGACAGAAGATCTACATCAGGCTATTGCACCTATGTGTGGGGAAATCTTGTTACTTGGAGAAGCAAAAAGCAAACAGTGGTTGCAAGAAGTAGTGCTGAAGCAGAATTTCGAGCTTTAGCTCATGGAGTTTGTGAAGGAATCTGGTTGAGAAGACTTCTTCAAGAGTTGAAGATTTCATATTACCTACCAATAAAACTATATTGTGACAACAAGGCAGCTGTTAGCATTGCTCAAAATCCTGTGCATCATGATCGAACAAAGCACGTGGAAGTTGATCGTCACTTCATCAAAGAAAAATTAGATGATGGAAGTGTGCATTTGATATATGTTCCAACCAAAGAGCAAACGGCAGATGTCCTTACCAAGGGCCTACACCGTCCAGCATTCGAAGACTTGATTGGCAAGTTGGGAATGATCAATATTTACCTCCCAACTTGAGGGGGAGTGTAGAAAATTAGAATTCAAACATGTTTCCGTTTTTATTTCCTATTAATTAGGATTGATTATGATTGATTAGGATTGATTATGATTGATTAGGATTAATTGTGATTGATTAGAATTGATTGTGATTAGGATTGTGATAGGATTGATTAGTCATCGCTTAGTCATTCTTAGCGATTCTTTCTTGTATAAATACTCACTCATGTAATTTATTCAATATCAATATACAAAAACTTCTTTTCAATGACCACACATCCACTTCAACATTCTCATTTTCGCTACTCCCATTTTATGCACATGTTTCCTCAACATTTAGCTCGTATAACATTGCATGCCTTACTGCTGTTCAATAGAATTTTTTTAGGGAATTTTGCGGTCACACAAAAATCCTTGTGCACTACGCCTTTTCATCCACCCTGCTTTGATTCTATGATTTACATCCTCATCAAACTTTTCATCTTTTGCAAAATTGATCCCAAACATCTAAAAGTGTCTTCCTTTATTACCTATTGTCCAAGCAGATGCACATAATCTTGATCTCCATCTTGTACCGCAGAAAAATCACACTGCATATACTCAATCTTGCTCTGGCTTAATGTAAATCCTTTAGACTCCAACATGTTTCTCCACAATTCTAGTTTTCTATTAAGACCAGCCTTGGTCTCATCAATAAGCACGATATCATATGTAAAAGGCATACACCATGGCACTTTCTTTTGAATATCTTTTCTTAGTTCATCCATAACTTGGGCAAAGAGATAAAGACTTAGAGCAGAACCTTGGTGTACACTTACCGTGATAGGAAAACAATTTGATGTTCAATTACAAATTTTTGTACATGTAATAGTACCATCATAAATATCTTTGATTGCATTTGACATACTTTGATGGTATTTTTTTTCTCTCAAGAACCCACCATAGAACTTTTCTTGGAATCCTATTGTAAGTCCTTATTTTTTTCTTGATATCTTTCTATTAATTGTCGCAACAAGAAAATGGCTTTCATGGTACATCTTCCTGGTATAAACCCAAATTGATTTACAGAGACTTTGGTCTCTCTCCTCAAGCGATGTTCAGTATTTGCTGTCTTTTGCTTATTTATTTTTCACTATACTTGCATTTTTTCTTGGAAGTAGGTGCCCTTAGTGGTTGGACTTGGACTATTGAAATGTCCACCAAACTGGGTCAATTATTTAAGATGTCAATTGGTTTATTTTTGGACGTAACTAGGTGCAACAAGGCACTTGGGCCATTAAAATTTTGCTGGTTGTATTGTGTCTTATCAAATTCCAAAGTATTTTGAAAGCAAAAAACACTTGACACATCTATTTAAAGGGGCATCCTTCGTAATTTCACATCGGATGACCAGGTCTTAAATATGTCGTCTAACATGAGAGAACCATCTTAAATGGTTTTTTTTTCCACCATTTTTTTTCCTTTATAGAAGGCACTCCAACCTTCTTCCTAATGATCTCATTTTAGATCTTTTCAACCCGGGTATGCACACTCATCCTTCATAACATTTTTTATTTAAATAAGCTTTATCTTTCACTTATAGTTTCCATTAGCTTCACAACATTCTGATCCATATCACATTGGGGCTATAAGTGAAATTTAATTAAACTCTTCATTTAATTTATAGGCAATCTCACGAAATAAATACCTGAGGCATTCTTCAGTTTATCTATTCTAGTGCAACTTAGGGGTCTGCTGCTAACAGGCTATTCTTCTGGGGGACGGATCTGTTTACAAACTTTTTTTGAAATTTTTTACAAATTACACTATGTTCTCCCGGAAGAACATAGTGTAATCAGTGTTCTCCCGGGAGAATATAGTGTAGTTTATAACAGTTTGTAAACAAAAAAGTTTGTAAATATAACCTGGCTCATTCTTCTTTACCAATATATTTGCATAATACTGCATTGATATAATATATATAATCTCGTCTTGAAAATGACATTGTCAACAGCAAGTCCACAAATCTTTCCATCTGATGTCGTTGGGATAAAATCCCTCTTTCTCTTCTCCAACTGTTTATCAAAGGCAATCTATTAGTAATAATTTGTTGAGAACAGAATTGAAGCTTTCTTTTCATGATTGATTTTGGCACCTGAAACAATTGGTTTAAGGAGCCAGCATTGATGATAAATTTCTTCCAATTTGAATTCTTAGTTGTTATCGTAAGTGCATTTACTCTGGTCTCTAAAATTGCACTTTTTAACTGGTGAAACAGATTGATATGGAATATGGAGACACGATTTACTTCCAATTTTTGGTGTGATACTTCAAATCTTTTATGCCCTTTCTTTTCTTGTTTTGCAGGTTGTCAACTATTGGCCAGAAAAGGGAATATCTGGATTTATAGTATATAAATTTCGACTTAGGAGACTTGAAGGGCAGTCTACATTAACCACTAATCAGGTTAATTATATTTGTTCTAGTTTCATCTAGAAAATATTTTCTTGTTTTATTGCCTGTGTGTGGTAAAATCACTACATATTTATCATAAAGCAGAGATTGGAATTTAATTAGAAGGCATTATATATGAAAATGGAGAAGTGAAGAAGCTAAATAAATTTTTATGGCTATGATACATTCCTCAGGATTGACCTACAGTAATGTAGTTGTGACCTAGTGACTTGATAAACTTTCAAAGTGAAATAATGGGGATGTTGAATTCTGGTTTAAACATGTGAACGTAATAGCTTAACTATGGGAAAAGCAACGGCCCATCCATATATTTTGTTGCTATTTGATTTCTTAGATTGAGTTTGTTACACTTTAATTCTTACCCATTTACTTGTTTAGATATTGATTCTTTTTTTTGGGAGGTTTTGGGGGTAGAAAGATGTAAATGGGGTTTCCCCATACCCTTCGGGTGTAGGACTGATTCCCCCTTGAGCCTCGAGTTGACCTTGGCAACAAGGTGCTTCTAGACGAAAAATGGAGTCCAGATACAACAAAAAAGCCAGTCCCTTGCTCTGTAAATTGGAAATCGAAATGGAAATAGTTATGGCCTTATGGGAATAGCACCTAAAGCAGCCATAAACGAAATCCTATCCCATGCATAACAAGTTTAAGATTAAAGGGGAAAAGGGGAAACTTGAAAATGCAAGTGTTCTCCTCTATTGAATTACACTATAGAACTGCATAAATTGCATGCTGCCACAAGATTTCAACTTTCTTGTTTTCATCAAAACATTCATAACGAACCATTAAAACTGCCTCAAAGTAGAGGGTCTCACACAGTGCCTTACCAACCAAGAGCTGCTAAATGAGTGTTCCATAGGAAAGTACTAGTCTTACAAAAAAGTTTTGGTGATGCTAAAATAGTAATAAACCTAAAAGCCTTAGTTG